TAATCAGGGTAACCTATTTTTTTACTACCATATAAAACTCCCCATCCCACAAAAAAATCACTGACAGAAAAACGTACACACATTATCAGCCGATTCTCGCATCGAATCATGATACATATGCACACATAAATTATACACATGAAAGCTACCGAACAAGACAAATACACGTAAGGTCTGCCAATGAAAAACAAGCAACACAAAACATAAATATAGTTGAATTTTCTTTTCTCTTCCATATTTCATTTTGTGATGAAGATTTAATAAAATAAAACATGATAAATTCAGAAACGTTTCCTACTTGATCCTTATCTTATCACATAAACACACATATATGGCTTAGGTTTCACTTGATTGAGCATAGTTCAATCTTAGAACATTTAAAGGTACAACACTCATCTCCAGTTTAGACAGATATTAGTCGAAAATACAACAGTTCTCCATCAAGATAATAAGCAAAAACTTAAAATTCTCGAAGCTTCGATATAAGAGAATTGCGACCAAAAATAAATAAAGTCAACTATGAATATAGCAACAAAGTTCTTAAATGTTTGTAGTAACAAAGTTTTATATAAAAAATACTAAATTAAAGTATTATAAGTGAAATCTTTTTCTTTTTTAAATACAAGAGTTATCTCCCTTGCATAACTGAAAATTTTGAATATGAAATGAATTAGTATAAATGAGCACATCTACAGATATTTTAACCCCCTGAAGATGGTCTCATATGAGATTGAAAGTACTTGGGAAAATAAAAATTATTTGATAGAAAACTTTGGTATTTTTCTTGATCAATTTTCCACATTCACCAAGAAAGAAAATATATAAAATATATAAATAGACATAATACATGTAAATTATTTAACCAAACTTGTTTGACATAGACATGTTTATGCGTGTGTGTTTGTGTGTGTATGTGTGTGTGTGTGATAGGATAAGGAAGAAATAGGATACAAGCGCACCCACACACATGAGGTCGCGCACGCACACATGCACACACACACACACACACACACACATATATATATATATATATATATATATATATATATATATATATATATGTATGTGTGTGTGCGCGCGTTTTTTGTGTGTGTGCGCGCGTGTGGATAGCGTAAGGGATATCGGGTTGGTAACTCTGTTCAAATGACTAAATATTACTTGTATTGGAGAGGTCTTCTTGGTGAAAGCGATGATTTTTCAGCACTGTTTTGCATGTAGACACAAAACATTGTTGGAGTGTTTTAGTATTGAAATATATTCTAAATGATTTGCTTATATTACAACAATAAAGAGCTAAATATTTACAACTAAAAAGATGAGTAATAATAAATATATATATTACCGTAAATTGATGATACAGAAATATAACCATATAACCGGTTTATCGGTCTTCTCACATCAGAGCGAAATCGAGGCCAAAAACATGCACAAAAAAAATCTAAAACATGTACAACTACAGAAAAAGATTAAATGTTAAAAATACAAACAAAAAATATAGCATTAAAGTTTAATTACCTCTATGTCTTACCAACTACTTCTGTTTACAGAGAGATCGTTGGTAGGACTTAAAATGTACTGATTCCAAAATCTTCGGGTAATAATCGGTATTAACCTTAATCGGCTCTAAGAAGATAACCTGGCTATAACACCTGGTACATTAACGCCCCTATGTAAATTACCCACCTTTCTTTTTTTATTATAGAAGTGCAATGCTTTTTATTTTAACATTGTTTATCTAACCTGTAGGCTCCCTATACAGGGTCGCAGCATCACCACGCTATTACCACATCAGGTGCTTTCTTCGCATGCGTGTTTTTATGCGGTGGAATTGCTTGTTCTACGCTCAAAGGATTTTTCAGAGTTGTTGTTCTGGACTGGTAGCCACTTAAAGCTAGATAGCTAATTTTGCCCGACTGCTCACCCCTAGCTGGTATGAGAGGGAAAGAGGGATTTATGCCTTTCCAAGGATATATGTGCAAAAACGAATATAACGGTTTTGGAATTTCGACTCGACACGCCAATAGTACTACATTATGAGCACATACAACCTGTGATAAAATGGGCAGGATTTACTGAACCAATTTCTAACGTGTTTTCATTCGCTTTAAGAATTACATATATAATGGTGCAGTAAATATTTGGAAATTGCAAGGAAAATAAAATGATAATTAAGGACGTATTTTAATTCTGATTTAACAAGACATATACAAGCAGGTTTGCGGTATTTCTATCGTTATCCTCTGATATTTTTATACTGCATACGTAAATAAAAATAATTAATTATAGTGTCAAATATATTATAATAATTATAATTATCATCAATTCATTCATTCTAAATGAATAAGAATAAACTCACTTCAATCCTCTACATACACATACAAGTGACATTCTAACTACCGGACAAGCAGTCAACCCGGACAGATCGTTAACACGTGTGTCAACGAAAATTTTGTCTCCTTTTCTTTTTCAGGCCATAATGCTAATATTTTATCTTTTTTATCAGAACAAATTAGAGGAAAGAAAACCGCTGGTACTTTTTGTATTTTTCCAGCTCAATTATTTGGACACTCATCATATACATCTATAAAAACATACGAGAAAGACTGTATGCACCTTGCTTATTCTTTATCTTAAACTTCTGTCGGGTTCCGGTCCATATTTGTTCTACATATAACCTCAGACTCACAATATTACTATCTCTCTTAACAACCAGATACTAAATAATACTCGTTTTGTTGTTTGCACGTTTTCCTGTTGCTCAAGTTTACAAGTATTTTTGTATATATAAATGTTAGATAATTATTTACTCAGAGTTATAAATCCCATATAATACTACATTTCAGCTAATACAAGGCTCGAAAGCCACTCAAGACAAACGGTTAGAATAGAAACAAAACGGTAATACAAAATGTAGTATGTGAGATGAATGGAACAGATATGCATGTTATGATGATTTGATTATTTTTGTTTAGCGACATATCAACACCTATATGGGTTATTTATTGCCGAAATCTAAACATTATGTACGCAATTTTTATTTTCTTTCTTCCTTTTTTGAGATAATAATGGTTTTAGCGATACAAGTTTTACTGTCTAACCCATAGTTGGGGAGAATAGATAGATTCATACCTTTCCCAACGGGATATCCATGTAAATGAATCATTTATTAATTATTCATTACATCACCCGCAAATACAAGCTTACAGACCTGGTATTACAAAGGGGTCACCCATCTAGGTATTGACCAGGCTTGACGTTACTTATCTTCGGTGATCGTACGTGAAACGATGTCTGAACGTGATATGGTCGTAAGCCTAACCCAAGAGAAAATAAACTTGATACATGAAAGAGTAAAAACTTTCCAATCTGTTACTGACACGTATAACAAGTTTTAATTGTTAATCGCTTGACGTTGCTTAACTTCGGTGATCGTATGGAACCAGCGTTTAAATTTAATGTCACGATAAGCCCTATTAAGAAGATTAGGAGAAAAAGTGACGATTGTGTCTTGACTAAGAGGTTAATCGGAATCTAAGTTCCACAAATAGCAGTTCCTGGGAAAATCTGAGTAGAACTTTCAGCATAGATTTAGAACACGGGGGAAATGAGGAAAATTCCACTCTGTGGAAATGGCAAAGTAAGTCCTAGCAGCAAAATCAGAACTGGCTGGGTTGGACAATGGAACTTATCTGAATACGGGCCATGGAAATAGCAACGGGCTTGCAACGTTGTTTCTATGGTAAGGAAATGACAGTGGATGGCAGATCACCATTCAAAAAATCGCGTAAACGATTTCAGACTCGATCATTGTAGAAAACTGAGGTTTCAGCTGCTCCAACCCAGATATGGCGACAATACTTCATTTTGTGTCTAATCTGACTCTTGGGAAGATAACGCATGGTGAAAGGATTTAGGTACTTCCTGGGGTGATGGAATATGGCCACCATCATTTTTAGCAAAGGATTGTATATATGAATTAAACTTCCAACACTTGAGGCAAATTGAGACGCAACTGACGTTCAACTCATGACCAAGCGATACTTGTTATTATATATGTCGTGTCTTTTCAGGACGTTGGAGATCATGGTTCTCCACAATCTCCTGTCTTTTGTAGCTCTTAATAAATTTGTGTTATTTCTCCTAAACCTTGTTCTGTTATCTATTTACTCAAGCTCGCTAGGTAGATTATGCATCGTTTGCCTCTGGCCGTCTTGCCTTCAATATCCTGCGAGTATCAAAGTTTCCAAGCTCTCTTTCCTCATTATGTGCCATACTAATTTCAATTGTCACTTCTAAGTATAAGTGTTCTTTTTGTTTCCATTTTCTCAAAAACTTCGGTCCATGGTATTCTCAGCATCCTTCTGTAGAACCATAGTTCTATTGCTTCAAGTCTCTCCTTCATCTGTGAGAAGATTTGTTTTTTGAGGTATTGAATGTTTCAAGCCCGATATCCCTTCTTGAAATTTTTAATTATTTTTATTCTTAGCTTTGGTCATTTTCTGCGAGATTAAATTAATAGACAATATAATCAAATTCCACTTCCCCCCACTATATATATATATATATATATATATATATATATATATATATATATATATATATATATAATTAAAAAATTAAAAAAAAACTGTCAAAGGTTGGTACGCCATAGAAAACGAATCAAACAAAACCAGAAGAAAAAATAGACCCCAAGCCCCTGTACTTTTCAATCCAACCGAGTCATATATAACACAAATAAATAAATGATTGATTTATTTTTACGGCTTATCAACCTTCTGGGGGTTATTTAAATCCAGAATATATTTTTAGATTGTAAGAATTTTTGAGATAATAATGATTTACTGATGCAAGGTCTACTAATTAACCCATAGCTGTGGGACAAGAAGTAGATTCATACCTTTTCCAAGGGTATTTTTTTTTAGATTAATATAACAAATCCGACTGAAATTGGGACTCGGCTCTCTGATTTCCAATTCATTACGCCACTTGCACTTCCAAGCTTGCAAGTACCTGACATTTCCAAGCGGTCACTCATCTAGGTACTGACCAGGCTGGACATTACTTATCTTCGGTGTTCATACGAGAACCGGTGTGTCAACGTGATATGGCCGTAAGCCTAACCCAAGAAAAAATAAACTCGATATATGAAAGGCTAAAACTTTGCAATCTGCTCCTGACACGTATAACAAGTTTTAATTGGCATAATAAAATATTCATGAGTTGTTTCGTACGCTGAATGAAGGCTTATTTGAAAATAGACGCACATCTCTGTAGATGGGGACACCGTTCTTTCAGCATCTGTGATAAACTTCGCGTGTCTTTGTGCGCCTATCTGGAAATTTTGCAAAGCAAAACGTTCTAATGAAGAAGATTCTTGACAGTAAAAATACATTAATAAAAAATCCCGAACTGGTAATTTAGTCAGTCATTTGTAGCTTCTGTGCAGTGAATTAACAAGAAGTTGTCTATCGATACAATTAGAATCACGAATTACTAATGGCTATTTAAAAGAAAATATTGCTTGGATTTTAAATCATCGATCTTTTGGGACGTAAGCACTCAGTTCTAGCCTTTATGTCTGAATTAGTTTTTAAAATATTCGCAATGCGCAGAAATTTTTATAAGAAGTTAATATTATTAGCTGTTTCCTTATAAGGAAACATTTGGCATTCTCTGACAGTGCTACTGCAGTTTCGTTTCTTTTCTTCACTCGCTGGCTTTAAAGGCTGGAATCAAAGTGTAGTATCTACTTTCGGTGGGACTATATTTTATTTCTCAATTGCGTTTCCGTCTTTTGTGTCTTTTTCTTTGAGCAGATTGAAACTGAAAAGAATATTGAGAAGTGCCTGGTTCCAGGAAGCAGTTGCCCATGCCGATAGCTCACTCGCTGCACTAAAGAGAGGGGATCTCTAATAATACTGATGCCAATGCAAACGATGGTTGCGGGACCTGGGCGTTTTTCCTACCTGGCCCGGGTGGACGCGCTCGGGCTCCTCACATTAAACTGATCCCATGTTACATCTCGTCAGCTATTTTTAGCTTTGGCTCATGTGTATGCGCTTGGGCTCCCCATTTTAAACAGTCCTTGTGTCATATCCCATTACCGTGTGCGGGTGGTTGGCAGGGGATAACGAGTAAATACTAAGTGCAATATCTGCCTTCGGACACACAAACTACATTTTTTCTCTCAATCGTGTTTCCGACAGAACACAGCAAATAAATGAGGGATGTCTGGTCTCGGGGATTCCAACCCTACAGCAGTACCTCCTCATCACACCAAAGAAGTATTGTGAGTGGAATATCGATGTCAGCGCGACGTTGGTTGCGAAAACTGGGCAATTTTTGGCCTTGGACCATGTGCAGCCACTTGTGCTGCCAACTTTAAACCAACCTTGTGTCATATTCCATCACCATGGCTTCGAGTAAATATCATGTATAGTATCTAAAATTTATAAAACCTTTATCTTAATATCATTTTCTTCATGAAAATAGGTTTTCTGAAGTCCAAAAACTTTTAATGCACTTTCTATTATTAACTGGTTCTTTTATCCTAAACTTTTCTTGAAGTGGTGTGGAACGTCAATATACCATCTTGTCATGTCATTTTCTTTTCGGCGAGCTATTTTATTGGTTGCTGTTGTTGAAAGTCCTCAAGTTATGTGGTTCCTGTTATTTGCCATAGTTCTTTGTTTGAAATTCTTTAGCGTCAGTCCAAGATGTTCTAAGAAGGATGGTCTACAATAAGACTTATAGGCTTCATTATCTCGCAGCTACTTTAAACCTCTGATTTGATAACGTGTTTGAGATTGTTTTATTATTAAATGCATTAAATATTTCATATGCAACACTTATTTCGTATGCCTTCATGACTTATTTATATAATAAACCAGTAGGCCTCACCCGATCGCTATCTGATAATTTTTTTAGGAAAATTATCTGTTTTTCTATGCGATTAATTTTCACTATTTATGAAATGTTGCTGGGTTTGTGGATGTTCCATATATTTGTTCAAAGACAGAAAGACAGAAGAAATTAATTGGTTGGCGATCGGGGGAGGCTTGTTTTAGTTAACGAAAGTTTTACAAATTGCAGATGCCAACTTGTTGAAGTAAAATGCAAATTTCAAACACTATGTTGCATTATATAAGACGATATTCCTAAACAACTATTTTTGATATGAAAATCAAAACAATTCTTGAATAAAAAAACAGTAATGAAAGACAATTAATGAAATATACTTTTTCAAAATCAGTATGCAAACTAGTTAAACCTAAAACGTGACATCGCCTAGAAGTAGGTAATATATAACTCAAATATTGAGCTTTTAGCGACTAAGTTATAGTAGAGGTGGGTGACTAAGGCGAGCTTGGTTCGTTTGAACAGGGCTAGCCTTGATTTTCTCTTTTAGGTCAAGCCTACGTCACATCGGGGTGGTTTCCTGTGGAGCCCTCCCCTTGGTTAGGTTAGACAAGCTTTTGTGTACCTAATTAATGTGAGTAAGTGTTGTTTCCAGCCTGTCCCCCGCCCATCTTTAGTTATGATTCAGGTTGAGATTCCCAACCTCCCTAGTTTGTTTTTGGCCCCCTTTTATCTCGACTGGGTCAGCTTTATATTTTCCCATGCCCGTATGATTTTTTATTCTTTTCCCACTCCCTTAGCGAGAGAGCTTCTTGATTTTGTCCCATGGGCAGAACACAGTGGCCTGTCTGTTTGAGAGTTGGACGGGCCCTACTAACATCAGTTATGTTTAATTTGATTTCTGTTAATATTTTAGTTTGTTATTGGGTTCATCTCCCCCCACTCTCATTTTTTCATCATAGATTTTTATATATGTTTTAGCATCATTAAATTTTTATGCCACGGGGCGCGTTTTGTAGGTCTGCCTAGTGAGAATGTGGTATTATGGTGTATGGAGGATTGATTGGTGACGGACGAGTTCTTGTGGTGAATGTGGAAATTGTAATGTATGAATGGATCGCGAATCGGACTAGCTAGGTATAGGATAGTTAGTGAAGACCAGCCTCAACCCCTCCCCTTATGGCCTCGTGCCATAATTGTATTTTTTAATGCAATAAATATTAAGTTATAGTAGAGTTGGTATCATTTAAATGCAGAATTCTTGCGGGGAATTGCGCTCCCGTTTCGCATTTATTCATCTAAATAATATTCAAATTTAACATAACTGTTCTATACAATCATTTATTGTACGAGATTTTGTTTGTCTTAATCTTCTCAATGTTTCGGCCACATACTCTCTGATTTTCAGGGATAACATTCTGTTGTGTTCTGGAACATTTACTCTTATTAGAAGTCCGCCTTCTTTCTCCTGGTCAGCCATATACATTATGCCCCAACAGATGGGCATTGGAGAGTAAGCAAGGTGAAAGATTTCGCACTCACACTTCGCTCAGATAACTCGATAAGAGGACCGAGCATAGGTATCAGTAACTTGTAGGAATGCTCCTGAAAAAATTATTTCTGTTGAGCTGGGGAGGAAGTGTGGGTTTGTAAACAGTGACTATTACGGCTAATAATGCATGACTCTTCGGTAAATCGAATCGAGTTCTCTCAGTCTCTGAGTATTTATCTAAAAATAAATACGCTTAAATGCAACTTCATTCCTGCCGTGCTTAGTGGTAGAATCTCCGACTGACGCCAATTCAGTCAGGTTTCGGTCCTAGCTAGAAGCAACCGGAAGTCTAGCCACACTGATGAGCTGTGATTCAACGAAACAGTCTGTCTGTGGATGACAATATATATATTTATTTGTTAAGTATACACAGATACGCACACATACTTTCGTTCGTTTTTTATCTTATGAAGCCCAAGAAGGCGAAACGCGTAATCAAATCTAGTTTCAATGAACGGTTTTCCATTTGTCATATCTCCTTAAATTATGTCGGGATTCTGTCTCGCATTTGTCCATGCAATGTGCATTTTCGTAGGAAACTCTTTTATGTATTTGCATATTCCATTAAAAGCCTAGGTAAAACTTAAGAAATGCTTTAAATTTTCTTGATTCATTGCACTTATTTTGATTGGAGGTTTAATGTTCGAAATATATTTGTCGAAATTGTTTCAGCCATTTTGTCGATTTTCACAGAATGAAGTTGGTCTTTAATCAGAATTAATTTTTGCTTTTACAAGTATCTTATTTTGATAAGGTGATTTAGCATTATGTTAGATTTTTTTGAAGTTTTAATTATTTCCCGTGTTGTTACGTCATATCTGAGTTTGAAGTTTTTATCTTCAGATGTTCAAACATATATATATATATATATATATATATATATATATATATATATATATATATATATATAAAAAAAAAAAAGGCTAAACACTAATATTCCATGATCATAATTTATTCCATTGGAATCGTAAATACGATCCAATTCATCAGACCTACAAATTCAAAAAAAGAAAACAGAAAAACAACTCCGAAATAAAAACAGAATTTAGAGAGAGTGTAAGTATGAGGAGGAGGGAGATTAAACCTTAACAGAGAGAATTTTAGGAGAGGTGGGTGGAAGGGGTTTAAGTAAGAGAAAAATGAATGTTGTCGGATGTCTAATGCATAAAGATACATTTCGTGGTGGCATACACACACCATAGACAATCTAATGTTAGAGTAATGTCCTGGACATCGAGTTCTACCTGGATTCTTCCTCTTGGAATTTTTATTCTAAAAATATACATGTATGGGTATTTGTACATTTTGCATATGTATGTATATTTACCACTATTATATTATATATATATATATATATATATATATATATATATATATAAGATCATTTGATAATTAGTAGAGATAATTCCAAGTAGGATATTAATCCAAAAGAGCACAATGTAAGAACAGAACAATATAATAATGGATACAGAATCCTTAAAAATGCATTTGATCAGGTTATAGTTTATTTAGTCGATTCAAATGTTCATCTCTTCTGACCAGTTTACATAAATAAATGGAGTTCGCTTTATTCAGACAAAAGGAAAAAGAAAAGAAAGAAGAAAGAGAAAAAAGAGTAAAAGGAAAAAGAGGAAAGAAAAAGGTTAAAGGAGAAAGAAAAGAAGTGGTCTGAAAAAAATGGACATTTGAGGTCCACGAAATAAA